ACCATCCCCCTCCCCCTCCTTTATCTAAAATCTCTAAACTAAAATGTGGCAATGAAGACAAAATGAAAAATGGCTTCAGTTCAGTTTGTCATAGCGTTGACATCAGTCTTCACACAAAAAGAAATTATAGCCTAACATACCAAAATAACTACTGTAAAAGACAAACTAGAAATAAAAATTAAAATAATCAAGAAAATGGTAAGAGAATGTCTATCTGACATTGATGAATATAAATCTTTGAGACCTGACAGATTACATCCCAGAGTTCTCAAGGAGCTGGCAGATGTTATCTCAGAATCATTGTACCAACTCGTTATTGGAATTAACCAGACAAATTGCTCCACTAACTAAGAACGGCCATGCACCGCCACCCACAGAATCGAGAAAGAGCTATTGATCTGTCAATCCTTTCCTAAGAGCGTCACAGACGTATTATTGCTAAATTTCGGGTGGCTGAACGCCACTTGTTCCTCTAAGAAGTTGGACGCTGACCACTCGGGGGTTACATAACTAGTTAGATGCCAGAGTCTCATTCGTCATTGTACCATATCTTTAAAAATCCTGGAGCATCAGGAAAGTATCTGAGGATTGGAAAAGGACTGATGTGGTTTTCATCTTCAAGAAAGGGAAAAAAACAGACCCAGTGTCAGGGTCCACTTCAAAAACCTCATCCTAAGAAAGCAGAACTCATGGAAGCAGTTTCTTCCAAAAGGAACTTTTATTAGGAGAAGCTGATAGTAGGCATAATAGACGGGATCTGAGGGTTTCCCGCTCAGATCAATAAGTTAAAAGTGTCCCACGTAAACCCCACCCCAATAGTTCATCCGGTCAGCTCAATCCCCAGGTGTGAAGTCCATTGTGGGAAAAAGCTGATAATGCCAGTCTGTCTCACGCATATAGCGGTGTTTGTTGGGTCTTCGCACCTTCCCTTCCGAAACAGGAGATAAGCCAGAGGCCCGGAGGCGCATTCCTTTCTCCCCCCCTTCAAGCTGACATCAAGGGGAAGACAGTTCAAAGAGCGTGTATGCAGACACAGCGGAAGAGTTACATTGTAGCAATAGAGAAAACAAAGAGGCAGCCTGCAGCGTCTTCCCCCCTCCCTTCCAGGAGCATGGCAGAACCCAGGAGAATAGAAAGAATAGAATTAGAAAGGCCCCTTAAATTAATATGGGTTCTGACACCCAGGAAACTACACCAATCAGTCTAACATCAATACCTGGAAAGATCCTAGAAAAGATAATCAAAAAACAAATTAGCAAACAAGTAGAAGGAAGCAAAGTTATAACTAGTAGCCAGCACACGTTTGCTAAAAACAGATCATGCCAAACCAATCTTATTTTATTCTTTGATAAAGTGACTAAACTAGTACAGGCTTTTCAACCAGTGGTACGGGTACCACCTGTGGTACATTGGCACCTGGCAGGTGGTACACGGCCATCCTAGAAAAATGATAGCAGGGGAGGGGAATGAGCTGAACCGGTGGTAGCACCGCACAAGCCTGAGCGAGAGATGGCTGGAGCTGCAGGGCTTCAGGCTCAGCAGAAGCGCCAGGATCAGTGCCACTTTCCAGCTGATCGGCACTTCTTTGGGGCTGTCAGGGCTCAGTGGAAGCGCCAGGATTAGCGCCAGGCTCCAGCTGGAGTTCTGCACTGATCCTGGTGCTTCTGCTGAGCCCTGAAGAAGCACCAATCAGCTGGAAAGCAGCACTGATCCTGGCACTTCTACTGAGCCCAGAAGAAGCGCTGATCAGCTGAAATGTTGCAGCATCTCCAGGGTCTTATGATTTACATTCAGATGCTTGGCAACTGATTCATATTTATGATGGTCACAGTGTCCCAGGGTCATGTGAAGTGATCAAAACCTGCTGCAACCACCCAGCAGACGGGGGGAATAAAAACCAAACACCCTCCACCACCCATGCTGCCAATCCTCAACAGAAATGCTCACAACAATGAAAACCTCAGACAGGAGGAAGAGTGCCACCGGATGGGCAGGCAGGTGTCTTGCTCGGCTGTGGCTTGGGGGGCACTTTTTTCAGTGCCATTGTAACTTTGAACAGTCACTAAGCGAACTGTTGTAAGTTGAGGACTACCTGTATTTTATCATTTTTTTCCTTTTTTGGGGGGGTCATCAAGTTTTAGACATTTTGCTAGGCGACTGGTGGTACTCGGATATTGCCATATCCTAAAAGTGGTACAATGGGTGAAAAGGTTGAAAAGCCCTGAACTAGTAGACCAGCGAAATGCTGTGGACATAGTATACTTAGACTTCAGCAAGGCATTTGACAAAGTAGACCACAACCTACTTCTTGGTAAGCTAGAAAAATGTGGAATAGATAACATCACCACCAGATGGTTTTGTAGCTGGCTGACAAACCATACTCAACGAGTAGTCCTTAATAGTACTACATCCATATGGAGAGAAGTAAGCAGTGGGGACTCTTCAATATCTTCACAAATAATTTAGATGAAGGTACAGAAGGAGAACTCATCAAATTTGCAGATGACACTAAACTGGCAGGAATAGCCAACACCCCAGAAGACAAGCTCAGGATCCAAAAAGATCTTGACAAACTTGAACAATGGGACCTATCCAACAAAATGAATTTTAATGTGGAGAAAAGCAAAGTTTTACATTTAGGCAGGAAAAATCAGATTAGGCAAGACCTGGCTCAAAAACAATAATTGTGAGAGAGACCTTGGAGTCCTAGTGGACGATTACTTGACTGTGAGCCAGCAGTATTCAGCAGCAGCCAAAAAAGCTAATACAATCCTGGGTTGTATAAACAGAGGCATAGAATCAAGATCACACAAAGTATTAGTATTAATACCATTTTATAAAACCCTAGTAAGACCACACCTGGAATACTGAAACCAATTTTTCTCACCATACTACAAAAAAAGATGCTGAGACTGTGGAAAAAATTCAAAGATCAACTAAGATGATCAAAGGCCTGGAAACTAAAACATATGAAGATTGGCTACAGGACTTGGGTTTGGCTTGTCTAAAGAAAAGAAGTAACAGGGATAACATGATAGCAATATTCCAGTATTTGAGGGGCTGCCACAAAGAAGAGGGGATCAAATTATTCTCCAAATTATTCTCCAAAGCACCAGAGGGCAGGACAAGAAATAATGGTTGGAAATTAATCGAGAAGAGAAGCAACCTAGAATTAAGGAGAAACTTCCTTAATCTGCTCTGCTCTGCTTTCTCTCTACTGCCTTTTTTCTTATTTTTTTACATGTTGAAAGAAACTTTTTATTATTATTTTTGACATTCATACTGCAAGTCCTATTTCATACTGAGCTTTAGCTTTCTTGACTTCATTCTTGCAGATTTGGACTATATGTTGATATTCTGCCTCTTTCCATTTTTTATACTTATCTTTTTTGTCTTTCACTTATCAGAGAGTTCTTTATGCAAACATTCTGGTTTCTCAAAACTGAGACATTTCATTACTCATCCAAGTAACATCTTCAGTCAAAATGAAACTTTGGGTAGGCAGAGTCAGAGAATTGTTGGAATGAACCAACTCTGCAGAGGGTTTCTCCCCAAAATGAGAAGCAACATGTAAATGAAGACTCAATCAACCAGGCCAAAAGTAGCTCAAAATGATAAATTGTGGCAACTGGACCAAAGTATATTAAAACTGAGATGTTTCATTACTCATCCAAGTAACTTCTTCAGTCAAAATGAAAATTTGGGTAGGCAGAGAATCGTTGGAATGAACCATCTCTTGCCATATAGTCTGCAAAGGGGTTTTTCCCCCAAATGAAAAGCAACATGTACATGAAATGCTGGTTTCTTCTTGGATTTCTTATTTTTCTATTTCAGTGGTATAGAGGTGGACTGGGCTTTTATACTCACATTTTTCCAAGTTTCCCAAGTGTCTTGAGTTGTTTTCCCCTTGAGGATTCTCATCCAAGGAATCCCTACCAAGCTCTCACTAAGTATGTTGAAATCAGCTCTTTTTGAAGTTTAAAACACTAGTGTGATTTTGTTCTATTGCTTGTATCTGCATTATATTGAATTCCAATATGATAAAATTATATAAAAAATAATTATACAGTCATTAAATTAAGCAAAGAACATGAGCTCCTTTCTTGTCTCTTTTGGGGTATCTAAACAACTTTTCATTAAAACTATAAAGTAGTCTTCAAAAATCTTAGTTTTTTATTTTTTACCAAGTTCTGTCTGCTAGCATTCACCATTATTTTATGACATTTTGTGGTTCTTACTAATTCTGAGCTCTCTCATAAGTGAGAAAATCTGATCTAAACAAACAGAGTTAATGTTCTGCAAAATATTGTTTAAGACAGATTCACAACTATGAAGCAACCAAGCCAAGACTACATTAATAGTTCTAACAGAGTCATAATATACAGTATGCTAGGATATCAGAACACTTAAATAATCCTTATTCATTTAATAATGTGGGGAATGATTCTGGAGCATATAGTACTATTGTGCTAGGTTTTAAAAATGGATTGTAATCCTCATGTAAACAAAATAATTGTTTATTGATATAGTATTTTGTGTACGCTAAGAACAATCAGACTAGAATATTCTTACTATGTCATATCAAGTTATTAACAGTAAAATTAAATAATTACAATAGCAATTATGAGGAATAATTTTTGTATAGCCCATCTCCAGCCCACTTCAAACTAAAAAGGCATCTTTTAACTGGAATAAGTAATACAAATTAGCTCCATAGTCTTAAATCTTTTCTAGTTTTTGATGGTACTTTACAATATATATATATTGTTAATTTATTAATTTGTTATGCCGCTCATCACTCTCAAATGGTGACTCTGGGCAGAGTCCAGTTAATTATATGGTTGACATATAGTTGATTACAAACTCTATAATTGTAAAATACCAACAGTTATTTATTAATTAGGCTTTTCTTTTTTATTGATAGGATTGTTGTTCTTTTGTAGTCTAAATTTGGTTATAGAACTTGATCTCTGAATAAATATCAATGCATACATACTTACATGTAAGCTTGGATGGTAGGTCAATATACCATCGTCTCCAAGAGTAACATATTTCTTCTTCCACTCTTTATTTAATGATTTACCACTTCGCTTTAAAATCATTCCCTGTTGAAAAAAAATAGTAAAGCTAAATTAAAAAGTAAAAAGTATCTCAATTTGGCTCCCTATATTTTCAACATGTACTCAGTGCTGTGCTTTTGCCTTTTATTCACAGACCAAACAAAATTATTTGTCCACAAATTTCTGAACTATAGAATGACTTATTTTAAACTAGATTGAAAGAAACATGAGCCAGGACCAGCATTAGAATAGCATACTTTTGGTTAACCTTTGATTAATTCAAATTCTGAATTATCTCTGTTAGGTTCAGAGAGAACTTGGGAGTTGTTTCTAAGGTTGGAGACCTTAGCTGCTCTTAGAGGACAACAATGGCACTAGTGCAGTCTAGTGCAACTTAGAATGCTACTTCTATCTTGTGGTCATTTTTTTTTTTTTGCTCCTATCCTGTCGGTAGATAGATGGTTAGTGGCCCTGTCAAGGTGACTAGACTCTCTAACTAAAGAGGGGCCAGCAAAGCATCTATAATAGGGGTCCCCAAGCCCAGCCTGTGGACCAGTACTGGGCTGCAGCACACAAAACCACACACCTTCCGGTCTGCGGAAAAACCTCTCTCCACAGACTGGTTCCTGGTGCCCAAAAGATTGGGGACCTCTGATCTATAATACTTTTGAGAAGTCAATTTAAGGCATCTATCAAATTCATTCTCAATTAAAATTCTGTTCCTATATAGCTGACCGAGGTTGGTCTGGGTTACCTGGGAAGAGTTTGAGCCTGTTGCTCCCAAAGAAACAGACAGGGCCTTTGGAGCTATAAGTGCACAATTTGTGGGTCTTTGGTTTCTACATGAAGAATAAGTGGCAGTTATGACAAAGAAGACCTTTGCACAAATTCATTTTGTGCACCAATTATGTCCATTCTTGAATCAGGAGTCCAATGCATGGTCATTCTTGTTCTTTATGGGGTGCTCATTAAGGCCAGTCAGAAGTTGCAACTAGTCTAGAATGCAGTGATTGGGAGCACCATGATATGATCAGGTAACACTACTACTTCATGAGACTCACAGTAGGTTTCTAGAAGAGTACTACTTACTATCTATAAAGCTCTTCATAGTTCAGGTTATTTGTGAGAGTCTTCTACCCATCCCTCAAGATCTGACAATGTAAGGCAGGAATGTCAAACTGCCAGACCATGGGCCAGATGCGTCATGCCAAAACCGTGCCCACCCCTTTGCCAGCAATGGGGAAAAAGTCACGATACATCGAGCGATGTCATGTGACGTCATGGGTTTGACATGCCTGATGTAAGGCATTCTCTAATCCAGACATGTCAAACACAAGGCCCGCGGGCCGGATCCGGCCTAGGGAGGGCCCAAATTTGCCCCCCCCGGGGCTGTCCCAGAAATGGCAAGGGACCAGCCCCTGCTGTCCCAGCCCTGGCCCACCCCAACCCAACTGGGTGCCCTGGCGCACACATAGGAAACGGTGAATGTTCAGGGGCTGGTGGTGTGCAGCAGCAGCTGCAGCTCGTTTGCCTCATCTCGCCCCATCCGTCCCAGCTTAACCCCATCATGCCCAGCCATGCCCCACTTTGCTGGGCTTCTCCTTGTGTGGCTCTGCTTTGCCACACTGCGCCACACCTTTCCTCACTTGGGCCATGGCATTCTATAAGCCTAGCACCCCAGGGCACGCCCAGCCTGTGGGATGAAAGGCACAGAGATGTGAGCGCACGGTAGCACAAGCTGGGCATTGGCCAGCTCCCAGTCGCCCTCTCCGCCACGTGGTAGGGCCGGAGAGGGGAACACAGTAGTCATGCAGAGCTGCAGCCTGGAACTGCCTGCGGATGGCAACGTGAAACTCTGTGGTGGTTGGAGAGAAAGGGTGAGAAGAAGGAGAAAGCAGGAAGGGTTTCTCTCTCTCTCTCTCTCTCTGTGTGTGTGTATGTGTGTGTGTGTGTGTGTGTGTGTGAGAGAGAGAGAGAGAGAGAGAGAGAGAGAGAGAGAGAGAGAGCAAGAGAGAGAGAGAGAGATTGGGCCAGCAGGGAAGCGAAAGTGTGGATAATGGGGAGCGTTGCAGAGTAAGCAAACTTACAAAAAAGGGATCTCTCTCTGTCTCTCTCTCACACACACACACATGCTGCGTGGGGAAGGTGGTGTGCAGGCAGGTGAGAAAACAAACTCACAGATTGGCTTTGTGGTCTATTCTTGCCTCCTCCCCTCCCTAAAATCCAGGCAATAATAGAACTCTTTGGATTGAATGGGAAGTTAAGAGGAATTGTGTGAGTTGAAATTAAAAGGCCAAGTCAACTCCCCCCCTTTTATAATTTAATCCAGCCTTGCCCAAACTAATATTTTTTGGGTGTCATGGACCACAGTTCCCATCATCCTGTGGCTATGCTGGCTAGAAATGCAATGCCTTATTTTCTCTGTAGTTTGTGTCTAGGAGGCAGTAGGTCTGTGGGATTTAGATGTATGTAAACATTTGTTTCTTCTGCCTAATTTATTAAACCAACAACTAATTTGAAATTAAAAGTTTCTGAGAAATCCAGGGTAATTTACAAGAAAACTCTCAAAGACAACTATTGTAAAGCATTACTAGCGCTGCTTAAAACAATATTAAAAGTGTGTATTTTAAGAAAGAAAAATATTAGTAGTAATTTACTTAGTGCTGTTTGACCATAAAATGTGTTGTTATTCTACATATGCCTGGCTGAACAGTGTGTTTGGAGTTGCCTCTAAAAGGGTGAGGGATGCACTGTTCATATTTTCCTTGGGAGAAAGTTCTATAATTGGGGTGCTGTCTCTGAGAAGGCTCTGCTTATGGCCACTGTTCTATAAACCAAACCAGGGGGACCATCTGGTCTAAATGGATGGTAAACATAGATGATTAGGGGTCTGGAGGCTAAAATATATGACAAATGTTTATGGGTATGTCTAGCTTAGTGAAAAGGACTGTCAGAATCCAATTATATTTCATCTCTAGTTATCACTTATAGAAAAACCCCATTTCTGCCTTCTTGGATTCTGTCATACAAGGAAGAGAAGGGGGTGAACAAAGGGGCTTTATGGCCCTCACTTCCTTCGGTACAACTTCAAAGGAATTGAATGGGGATAGCACCAAAAGGACTAATCATAACAAAGGAGGCTATTTACCTTTCATGTAGTTTTCTCTGAAGTCTCCATCCAGCCGGCAGTAAGGAAAAGGGATGGGAATGTAACGCCTGAGACTGTTACTGGAAGTAGGGGGGATTGGGTGGGGCTACTGGGAAACCCCTTAAAACCTTGAATGGGAGAGCTTGGACCCCAAGTCCTGTCTAGAACACCTGCAACCATTTTCTCTTAATAAAGGATTCCTGTTGGAAGAATTATTCCAAGAGTTCTGTCTTCTTAAGATGCAAAGTGGGGTGGGTCCTTACATTAGACAGGACTTGCAAAATTAATCCACCTGGAAGGGAGACCCTTGCCGGGGGATTTTGCAAAAATTTACCATATCAGAAAATGGAGCAAGAGAGGGGGGAAACTCCCTGGAAAGAGAGCCGCTTACCCAATTGGAACCTTGCCAGATGTTGGGATCCGAGAAGTCAGAGTCCTCAGGAGAAGAAGTGGTGGAGACATGGGACCACAAGCCTCGCTGGTCAATGGGCATTGGAAAGAAAAGTGAGTGGGGAAAGGAATCAAGGAAGGTGACCCTGAGACGGGGGACCAAGCAACCAGAATGGAAGCAGGAGATGGAGAAATCCCTGCGCGCAAGTGAAGAGGGGGAAAGCTGGGCACCGTACTCAGACTGGATCCTAGAGAAAGCTATTGACCTGATGAAGAGAACTCTCAGCTCCCTAGGAGAGGAGAATCCTGAGCCCTACGGCCGCCCCAGCTCCTGGAGCCATAAAGGGAGAGACACCGAGGGGGAAGTGGAACCTGCAGCCCCAGGGACATCTGATGATCCAGTAGTCCCCACCCCCTACCGAACCACAGATGGCGATCTGGACGGAAGACACTACCACCAACGACGGAAGCACCGATCCATTCCAAGACGTCCGCCGTTGGAGGTGAAATTCAAAGGGGAGCCAACACGCTTGGGGTTTTTCCTAACCCAAGTCCTCAACTACATGGAGGAATACGGGCAGGACATCCCCAGCGACAAAGCCTGCATCCGGATCGTGCAATCTGCCCTGGATGTACCGGCTGCAGATTGGGTGGTGAACTTGCATGACTCCAATGCCCCAGAACTCAGCAACTTCAACCGTTTCATGTCCTCTCTGAAAAGACGATTTGAAGACCCCCTGGCTGATCGCAAAGCCCGCAAAGGATAAAAACGATGAGGCAAGGCAAACGCCCAGTGGCTGAATATACACAAGAATTCCGGGCCATTGCCAGCAAACTGAACTGGCCAGAAGACATCCTCCTTAGCCATTTCAAAGACGGACTAAATTATGATCTATTTGACACTTGCCTGCCCCGAGGGGACCCACACCAACTTGAGGAATGGTACATCTTGGCAGAGGAAGCAGAGATCGACATATTGAAAAGACACCGCCAAGGAAAACAATGGGAGCCGCCCCCCGCCTGAGCTGACACACGAACCAGTGAAAACATTGGCTACAGACAAGAAGCAAATGGGGTGTTTCAAGTGAGGAAGAGAAGGGCATCGAGCTGTAGAATGCCGCTCCAAAGCCCCCCAGCACAACCCAGACAGATCCCCAATCAGCAAATCTGGAAAGTCTTCAGCTAAGCCAAAAGAAACTGCCATGAGAATGATGGAAATTGCAGAACCCCCCACTTCTGCTCATCAGGGGGAAAGAACTCCAGCCTACACAGCAGGGCTGGTGGACGCCTCAGATGACAGCTCGGAGGACGAACCCCTGGTAAGTGGACACATCGCACCCATCCTCAAGACAGTGACTATATTAATTTCCCCCATGCCCGAAGCTGTGAAGGTGAAAGCCTTAATAGACTCTGGCTGCACCCGCTGCCTCATTAGCCCAACACTAGTGGGGAATCTGGGCATCCCATCGAGGAGACTGGAACAACCAATCTCATTTGGCCAGTTAGA